CCAGTGTCATTGATTCCAAAATGACACCATTCACACAATGACATCAACACATACTATATATGCTGTGATTACATATTTGTGTCAGCTTATTCAGCATAAATACATAAAATACAGACAACCCCACACATTGCCATTTTGCTAATTCTTGATTGTTCCTGCAGAGATTTGTATATACTTACTAAATCCTAGAATTTTAATAAAATGTCTGAGTTCATACAACTTAATTTGAAACATTATTCTTTAAAACTTTATTTTAAACCAAATTCTTTCCCATTTCTCTTTTAAAACTAGAAGTTCATATTATGTTGGATGCCCTTTTGCCTCCAGACACCTACTTTAGATTTAATCCTCTGATGAAAGAAGATATTCCTCTGGATGAAAATCGTAAAGAAAAACTGAATCAATTGCAGACAGATGGCATCCGATATTTAGAAAGAAATGGCGAGAAGTTGAAAAAAGCTGGAAAAATATTATCACAGGAAAAAAACATTTTACAGAAACTGAGTAACTGGATGAGATTAAAAGTTGATATGTATGATGGCCTTCCAATTCTGTCAAAATTGTGAATATGTAAAATGCTATGCATCATAGGTGTAATCAGTTGTATATGCAAAGGGTTCAACATTGGTTAGTCATTATGTAATCATGTTTTCTATTCAATGAGCAAACAAGCTATATAAAATGCATTTCAATCTCAGTAGCTCCTTGGTAGCTTCTTCGATTGGATCTGAAGGTCCTGTGTGCAAACAGAAAGAAAATGTACCAGTCTATTTCTTCCTTGTCTCCCAGTCTGTCATCTTTACACTCAGTGTTTCTCTGAATCCTTCAAGCCAATATCCAGTAGGACATAAATATGCAGATCAGTAATTATGACCACTGCCGATATTTTTTTTCTACAAACAGAACTCTTGTGAAATTTGAGATGTTATGATTTCTTGAAGTATATGAGTATTAGTTTTCAGAACCTCACTTCACTACCACTTAAATTCAAGTACTGGTGTGTGTGTGTGTGTGTGTGTGTGTGTGTGTGTGTGTGTGTGTGTGTAATTTGATGTTTAAATTTGTGACAATTATGATACCAAACTTTCAATATATTGTGAATGCATATAAAAAATCATGCAGTTTACAAAATACATACTGTGCTTATGTATTATTGGAAAATTACAGCATGGGAAGAATCATAGTAAATATGTTGCTCTACAAATAATTGAGCCAGAATAAATCAAACAATTCAATTCCCATTGAGATTAATGACAATAAACAGTTTTAAATCCATTGGGAGTAGTTCAGCTAGTTTGCTGATTGAATTACTATATATTATAGACATTCAGGATATGCTGCCATTAAATGTTATGAAAATTGCCTGATGATATAGATTTGTGCATGTAAACTTTTTGTTTTAAAATGTTAACAGTGATTTGTAGTGTGCAATGTTTTAACTATTTTACTTTATCCAATTCAGTATTTGACATATTACAATAACATCTGTCATACTTAAGATCTATTTTTCAAAAAAAATTGAAAACTTTTCAAAGATTCTAGTTTAGAACAATTACTTTGCTATTTGAAAAGCAAATCTCTAGAACTGAGTCTTGTATGAAATAAATATTGAAAGGTATATATTCATGTCCTCATTGTGAGATTTTATTTAGTGATGTGAAATCATTGTGCCAAATTATGTTTTCATATTTAACCTATGTACCTTCATATACAGGTTATTTAAATCAATAGCAAATTAAGACTTTCAGGGAGGAAAGTTTTTGGGCAAACTAATACCATTTTCAGTTAATAGGGAAGCCATACACTAAATTATGAAACCATGTTGGCAGCTGACTGTCAGAAAGATAAGTCAGCAAGCTTTGGGAACTGATTGTATTTTGTAAGCCATAGTTTGTGGTTGCCATGTTAGTCATTTGTGGGGGTTTTTGGTAAACCATATTTCAATTGTGATTTAGTGAAATATAAGAACCAAATAAATAGCTTATTTGAGATAAATGTTCCTCTGTGGTCAGTAGCGAACAAAGTCACAATTCATTAGATCCATGCAAAATAAACAGAGTTCACAAAACATCCTAGACCAGGGATAGGCAACCTTGGCTCTTTTATTACTCGTGGACTTCAACTCCCAGAATTCCTGAGCCAGCTATTCTGGGAGTTGAAGTCCACGAGTCATAAAAGAGCCAAGGTTGCCTACCCCTGTGCTAGACCAAAGCAACATAAGCCATTTTATACCTTAGCAAAATGTGTCAATCTAACCAATATATCTTCCATAACCACTGATAAAGAAGAGCAGTAGATGAGGACTATTGTTTTCCTGTCCTTTGTTTCTCTAGAAAACTTTGAAGTAGATGAAAAATAATCTAGGCAAGAGCCCAAATTATTATCCCTCCTGTCAAAAGATTTGTGCATCGCTACTAAATTGTTATTTTTAAAATAATTGCAAAACTAATCAGATTCATATAAGTGAACATAAATTTTTGTTCCTCAAACCCACCCTGCTTATTCTTCTGAATGTTGCCCTTTGTATGTTATTAGAAATTGGAACTTAACAGTAGTTTGTACTTATAAATAAAAAAAAGTATATTGAAAATACTGCAGGTTCAGTTCCTGCCTGGTCATGTGTTACTTATTATGTAGATTAGTAGAAATGGAGTCAAGCATACAGTTACACTGGAAGTTTTTAAGAAGAGACTGGACAACCATTTGTCTGAAATGGTGTAGTTTCCTGCCTGAGCAGGGGGTTGGACTAGATGACCTCCAAGGTCCCTTCCAACATCATCATCATCATCATCATCATCATCATCATCATTATTATTATTACATAATTCGGATGTCAAGGTTTTATATACTAATTCAATGAACCCACAAAAAGTGTTGCTTCTAAAATACCTTACTTCTAGAAACATTAGCTCTAAAAGTAGAGGATCTGAAAAACAACTTCATTTGTGATCAGTGTTCTGCATCTTGTTTCAAGGCCAAGTGCCACTTAGCAAGTGTCCCCTGTCAGATATGATGTGTTGGGGTGCCCCATGCAATCTGTAAATATGCTGCACGAAAAGTTTCGCTAAGGCTTTTGTGGTGGGAATCTTTTGGCAAGGGATAAAGTGCACCTGTTTGGAAAACAAGTCCGTGACCGTCCAGATGACAATATTCCCATTGCTTTCTGGTAATTCCACTATAAAATCCATGGCTATTTCCCTCCAGGGGGCTGAGAGAGTTGCCACTGTTTGTAACACTCCGGGCGATTTCCCTTGCAACCTCTTAGCAGTCACGCACGTTGGGCAGCTGGTCACGTAATTTTCTATGTCCCTTTTCATGGATGGCCACCAAAATTGCCTTTTAATTAAGTGTAATGTTTTTACAAATCCAAAATGCCCTGCTGATTTTGGGTCATGGCACAGCTGCATGAATGTGCCCCTCTGGGTGGTTGGTATATATAATTTTCCCCCACCCAAGGCAGTCTGTCCTTGATTGTGCATACGTGTCTATTTTTCTGGAACCATTCATCTGTTTCCAAACTTTTCCGGAATTTGATTCCGGTTTGGCTACCCAGCTGCGGTTTTAATTTAGCTTGGGCTCTGGTGGTTACTGGCACTGCCAGTTGTGGTTCCACCATAAGCGGTTTAGAATCGGTGGCTCATGTGCTGTTATACTGGAGCATGCAAGCATCTGCCAAGAGGTTCTTCCCCCCCAGCAAGTGCTTGAGCGTAAAGTGGAATTGGTGAAAATCCTGGGACCAGCGGGCTTGCTTGGGGTTGAGCTCCCTGGGTGTTCTCAAGGCTTCCAGGCTTTTGTGGTCTGTCCACACCTGAAAAGGGATTTTATTCCCTTCAAGGAACTGGCGCCATGTAAGTAATGACCAATGTATCCAGTATGCCTCTTTCTCCCACATGGGCCAGCACTGTTCCATTTCGGTGAGTTTTTGGGGTGTATACGCGCAGGGTTGCAATACCCTTTCATTGTTTTCTTGTAATAGTACAGCCCCCACTGCCACATCACTTGCATCCGCCTGTATTACGAAAGGCTTATCCATGTCTGGATGGCTCAGTACTGGTTCGGCAGAAAAGAGTCTCTTTAATCTCTCAAATGCCGCTTGGCATTCCATTGTCCATTTTAGTGCCTGGCTAGATTTCACTGAGGATTCTCCCTTCATTTTTAGTAAGTTCATGAGGGGCAGGGCTATCTGGGCAAATGAGGGAATGAATTGGCGGTAAAAGTTTGCAAAGCCCAGGAATCTTTGCAGCTTCCTTGTGCAAGGTGGTTCCCATTCTAATACTGCTCTGACCTTCTCTGGGTCCATTTGAATGCCTCGTGAGGATATGCGATAACCCAGGTAGTCTATTCTTTCCTGGTGGAATTTGCATTTCGATAATTTGGCATATAGGTGGGCAACTCACACTTTCTTTAAAACCGCTCTGACTAGGTTGATATGTTCCTCTTTGGATTCGGTGAAGATGAGGATGTGGTCAAATAAACCAGGACCCCCTTAAATAGGTGCTCCCTTAGTACCTCATTGATTAATTGCATAAATACTGCGGGACCTCCTTGTAATCCAAATGGCAAAACTTTGAATTGGTAGCACCCCATTGGGCAATTAATGCAGTTTTCTATTCATCCCCTTCCTTAATTCTAACGTGGTAATACGCTTCCCTTAGATCTAGTTTAGAGAAAATTCTTCCTTTCGAGAGGTGGGATAACATGTCCTTCATGAGGGGTAGGGGGTATAGGTTGCTTTCACTGATTGCATTCATTAGGTGGTAGTCCATGCACAAGAGTAAAGAGCCGTCCTCTCTAAAGAGGACTGGGGCGGCTACTTTAGGCTTGGCAGGTTCGATGAACCTCCTTTCTAGGTTTTTATTTATGAATTTCTCCATTTCCTCCTTCTCCTTAGGGCTCATGGAGTATAATCTGGGCTTTGGGAGTTTTGCCCCTGGCTTGAATTCATGGGTCGGTGAGGGAGGAGCTCATCCACCCTCTCCTCACTGAAAACTTCAGCCAGGTCTCGGTATTGTTCTGGTATTTCGGGTAGCCCCATTTCTTCTCCCATTGATGCTTTCTCCATTCTTAATTTTGGTAGGACTCCTTGGGGTTTTAAGTCCGTAGGGCCCCCTTTTGGGAAATTAATATCTGTCATCTTCCAATTTACCCACGGGTTCCATTTCTTTCCAGCCCTAGGATCATTGGACATTCCATGCCTGGGGTCACTACAAACGTTATGTCTTCCTCATGGTTTCCCAGGGATAGGTGGACTGGTAATGTGGCTAGGGTAGCTGGAACCCCCCCTGCTATGGACCCATATAACTGGCCAAATGATATTGGTTGTTTCAGCCTGCTCAACGGAATGCTAATGAGGCAGCTGGTGCAGCCAGAGTCTATTAAGGCTTTCACTTTGACAGCTTCAGGCATGGAGGGAGCTAATATAGTCACTGTCTTGAGGATGGGTGCAATGGGTCCACTTACCAGGGGTTCGCCCTCCAAGCTGTTGTCTGAGGCATCCAGCGGCCCTGTGGTGTAGGCTGGAGTACCTTCCCCACATTGGGCAGAGGTTGGGTATTCCACAGCCTCTATCGCTCTCATGGTGAGTTCTTTTGGCTTGGCTGGGGACTTCCCGGATTTCCTGGCCTGTGATCTGTCTGGGTTGTGCTGGGGGGCTTTCATGTGGCATTCTACGGCCCAGTGCCCCTCTCTCCCCCATTTGAAACAGCCCGTTGGCTTCTTGGCCGTAGCTTGTGGTCTCACTGGCTCGCGCATCGGTTCAGGCGGCAACTGGCCCCATGGTTTTAGTCAGCGGTGCCTCTTCAGTAGCAGCAGTCTCTGCTTCCTCTGCCAGGATGTACCATTCGTCAAGTTGGGGCAGGTGTCATACAGGTCATAATTTAGGCCATCTTTGACATGGCTAAGGAGGATGTCTTCCGGCCAGTCCATCCAGAGCGGATTGCACGAGACAGATACGGGCTTTGTCGCTGGGAATGTGCCGCCCATATTCTTCCATGTAGCTGAGGACTT